TAGTTGTTTAAGAACCCTTCAAATCAGTAAAGTAACTTAGACAGGAAATGAACGAAGCGATGAGACAAAGGGTTTGTCTGTTCTGACACCAAACTATTAACCAATGATTTCTAGAGAAAGTCACAAAGTTTGCTTTCTAAGACTAGAACGCTGTTAATGCGTGAAAAACGTTGAAGGATAAGGGTAAGGATTTATCTGTTTAAAATTTCCTTGTTTGCCAGAGCGCCTCGAGAACGCTATCTGTATACCTAGCTGTTATTTCAAATAATTATAACCGTTTCTCGGCCTACTTTCGGCCGACAAATGCTGATCCATAGCAAACAGTAAGTTACTTACTGTGTGAGTAAGTCAATCAGTCAGTCAGTTAATCAGTCGGTTGATTGGTTGCTTAGTTGGCCGGTTGGTTGGTACTGGGTCTGATTTGTTGATTGGTTAGTTTATTGGTTGGTTGGCTGACTGATTGCTTGTTTGCATGCCTGCTTGCTTACTTGCTTGCTCGCTCGCTCGATCGATCGATCGATCGATCGATCGATTGGTTGGTTGGTTGGTTGGTTGGTTGGTTGGTTGATTGATTGATTCATTGATTGATTGATTGATTGATTGACTGATTGATTGATTGATTGAGTGATTGATTGATTGATTGATTGATTGATTGATTGATTGATTGATTGATTGATTAGCTGGCTGGCAGATTGGTTGGTTCGTTGGTTGGTTGGCTGGCTGGCAGATTCGTTGATTGATTGGTTGGTAAGTCAGTTAGTTAACTAGGTAGATTACGTAACAACACCTTTAACCTTCAAAATATACCTGCCATTTTGGATGTCAAAAATTTTATGTATGTGTACGGCGAACCTTGAGAAAATTGTTGATTATTAAGGTGTAAATAACCCTACCGTAGAAAAGCCAGAGGATAACATAAGCCATTAACAGATCCATGGCTTTTACATTCGAATTCAAGTTGCACGAGTGCTAGTTTTGTTCAAAACAACGAAAAATTTGTACTGTTAATGCCTATTTTACAGGAATACTCTGATATATACTTCTGATATTTGATCCGTACAAAAAATTTAATGATTTCCTTATCAATTGATTATTTCCATTATTATATGACTTATAGATGACTCCAATGCGATTGGCTAAGAGCAGGCCAATTTAGCATCAACTTTTTGTATCTTTTTATTCCCTCAGATACTGAACAAATGCATGATCGTATGAAGATACGCGCAATTTTAATTGCGCTACACTTGATATTTGAAAATTCCTTCAAATTGTACTTGCCTTATGCTGATCATAGTCCTCACGCCAAATGCAAGCAATTTACATAAAAAATTTAACTGGATGATGGCTACTGTTAAAAAGCGGCAAATCAGAACTGAAGCTATTTTTCAACTCCTGCTTGTTTGAAGGCTTAATAAATAGTATAGAAATGAATGAAATACCTCGAAATACAATCTCAAACAGAACAAAGAACCTCGAGCAATTTCATTTGCTTCTGTGTTTATGTCTCTGTTGTCTATCATATATATGTTATTTGCCGGTCGGGAGGTCCACATTGGGAAAAACTGTGTCCGAGGTTTTGGGTATGGCCCGAAACCGCAGGCTGAGAGCCATACGTGCTCAAGGCAGAGGGTACAGTTTTTACCAATACGAACCTAGGGTGGCAAATAAAATTTTTTTCCTGCGGTAAATTGGTTTTCAATACAAGCAAGAGACCATGATACAAGTGGAATTGTTTACGCAACTTACACCAGTTAAAGTCTCCACACGTGTGTTGCCGATGTCATATTTTGTGCAAAGTTTAAATTTTACTACAAAGACAATTTCTGTCAGTCGTTGCCATTAAAATCACTTGAAATCAAACTCTTCTACCGTATATTGAAAGCAGAAAGCAAGGAAATTCGTTAACTTTATTCTACATAAATTTCTTTAAATACAGTAACGATCAGAGAGGTAAACTCGAATGAAATTGACTCATTTTCAACTTAAAGTTG